TTGGGGGGGGGGGGGGGTGGGGAGCTGGGTGGTGGTCTGTCTCGGTGGCGGATTTAAGGTGGTGGGGAAAGGGCAGCCTGGCCGGAAATAGTACTCTCAGACTTAAATTTGAATATAATTTTCTTTTTTCTCCACTATATTTTGAAAAAAAATAGGAAAGGTAGGCCGGCTGAGCCCTATTGAATCTGCCACTAAATACTCATCATAACATTTGTTTTCAATTTATCCTGCTAATTCTTACATATTTCGTGCAAACTAACGTTCATAAAAATAATGATTTATTATCTACTGTTTAGAACCTGGAAAAACAAATGATAAACCATGTTCTTTCATGAATAAACTTAAAACAGTCACTCCAATTCTATCTTTGCATGGTACAGTATTTTAAAAATCAACGAGAGTTTTTTCCCTTTCTCCTCTTTTTGAATTTCACTTTGTGCGAGCAGATAGCGACAACAGTCTACACTACGGTGAGTGGAAATACTACCGTCTAACTTACGATCAAACAGGACTAACGAGATAGGAAGCACACACAACATTAATTAGCATTTTTATTATAAGGTGATTTACTTATCATGGCAGGGACGGATCCAGAAATTTTCTGACGTGGGTGGGTAAATAGTTGGTTAGGCTGTTTGAGTTGAGAAAATTTTAAGAATATGCCCCTCAGCTATAGACGCTCGGAAATGGCACTCTCAGATGGTAAAAATGCTTTTTCAAAGCAGTCTCCTAGAAAAAATTATTTACTTTTCCCAACGAGAGATCCACTCTCCTCATTCATTCATTCATTCTTTATTTAGCCTTTTATAAAAATCACATTACAATTTGCACATACAGTAAAATAAAAATTCACAATACAGAATAAAACTGAAAACTAAGGAGGCAAGTATCAAAAGCAATTAAAATCGCTGTAGCTCACAAGCTAGTTAATCCATAATTAAATTAAATTTTGACAATTAATGTAAGTGGTCCTGGTCGGTTGGGCAACCCATCCCCAATGGATTAATATGATACATGTCCTTTATGTCCTCTCAGTGACATATCATGCTATTATGTATAAACAAAGCCCTTTTAGATAGGGTGCAATAGAGCGAGGATCCTATGAGTAGGGTCACCGCTCTCCTTTCGCCCTGCTGTGACTGTCACTGAGCTCATGAGTTCCTTTTTTTCCTCTCTCCACCTTTTAACTCTATCAATTTTTTCTCCCTTTTTTACTGAGGACTGACAGGGGAACGGGGCCCTGTAACCCCTCCCCCACTGGATCCTACCCTGCATGATGTCATGGCGAGAATGCGTCAAGCAACAACGGAGTTCGTAAACCGTTTGTGGTATCAATACTTAAAAAGTCGAAATAGACAGACGTATCCGTGTCAAAGGCTGTATAATTATCGTTTAATATAACGGCTAGGCCTATGTAAAATTAAATTAACTAACTATAATTCTTTTGAAATCAGGAAAAACAGGAATATATGTATGCAGATAATATTAAACATTGTTTTCATAATAAATTTAGCCTATGGTAACCATTGCATCCATAAAATCGATGGAGTTGGTTACTGAGATGGTTACGAAATGTACAAACAATTGCGTTTTTACTTAGTATAGGCCTGTCAGGAAATACGCACCGTACTTGGAACAGAGCACAAGTGAATAGACAAAATACATGACAGTCATTCGTAATTGTTCTTGTTCTTTCCTCTCGTTTTGAAAAGTGAGGTTTTAACTATAGAAGATTGGTGAAAAAGTGGTTGGGGGAAAATTGATATGATGCCCCTCCCCCCTACTTTGAAAAGAGGGACCTGTTCCCCCTGTCCCCACGCCCATGAATGTTGGACGAAGCAGGATCTTCTGAATCTATAATGAAGAAACCAGTCCAAAGTTATTTTTTAAATTGTTTTTTTTTTTGTTTTTTTTTTTCTAACGGGAATTTACTTCAAGTCTCGATCGGCCCAACTTCCCCCTCCCCTTTATCGTTGCCTTTCGCATTCGTGTGATGCGGCCGGCAGCCGCATGACAGTGCTTCGATAATTTTCTTGTTTTTTTTAATGATATCCAATTCGACAAACTTGGATGCATTTCCAGCAGTTTGCGTAGTAAGATGTCAAATCGCATCAAAATACCTCCTTGATCATATACTAAAGATCATAAAAAAAGTCCAGGTTGATAGATCAAGAATTGTGTTGACCGTAAACACATTAGCCTGGTTCACGTCAAACTTTATCTAGATAAACCCGTCTTGAAACATAATACGATAATCCCCTAATTGCGTTGAGTTGCACGTTTCATTTTTGACAAATCCATGAAGTAAACCGTTATCGTATTGCACAGTAGTATCATGGAGGAATTGGTATTATTCACAATAAAACCTTCTCAAGATTTTACCCAGGAGAAGAGAACCGGACTTGTCATGACTCATGTTTACGTTAAGCAGGATAAAACATATTAAACCTTTGATGATCAAAATTAGACCAGTTATGCCTATATTTTGTAACCTCATAGGCCTTATATAAATAATATTAGTAATAATAACAATAATGATAAACAAGAGCACTCAGTAGAGAGCATATCTCCGCCCACCGCTAATCTCTTTCTATAAAATAAGCCCTCAACATGTTCCTACTTTCCAACCACCAACCACCATCTACTTGATTAGATCAGTTGATAATTAGTTTTTGAGATATTTGATCTTTGACGTTTTGCTTTGAATGTTCCATATATCCACATCAAAATCGCTTACACATTTTACAGAAAAAAAGCTCTAAGATACAATATACATTATCTCAATCCCTCATCACCACTTTTATTTTTAACACAAAAACTGAGTATAATTGATATTTTTTTTAAACACACGGCAATCTTTATGTACCGATATCATCTATATTAAAAAGTAATTACCTGAAACTTTATTTAAAACATTCGACTCATGACATAATTATCAAACAAGAAATAGAATGAACCTGTGCAATGAGCTGAAAAGTACTAAAATAGGGCAACTTAGCATTTCATACCGAAGAACAAAAATATGAAACAATCTGGCAAGCAATCTGAACGAAAGCCCACTCTAAGTGCATTCAAAAGAGATATACATCAACATTTAATAGCAAACTATAGCAGTTAAAATCATAAAATGAAGTAATATAATAATAATAATAATGGTGATAATAATAATAGCAATAAATACTACTACTACTACTACTACTACTACTACTACTACTACTACTACTACTACTACTACTACTACTACTACTACTACTAATACTACTACTACTACTACTACCACCACCACTATACACATCTAGATGTGTATAAGAAGGGTTGTTCATTCTTAAAGCTCTTGCTTGTTTTGACTACCCTTTTCCATTTTTTGTTGTGTATTATTATCATGCATTCTGATAAATGGAAATAAATTTATTTAAAATTGAATTGAAATTGAAAATGTAATCACTTTGTTTTTCGAACGCCTTTTACTATCAGTTGTACACCTGTTAGCTCCTTAAATCTCCTGGCTTAACACACTGGCTCGTTACTCTTATAGTTGACAAAAAAAGGTTATGTGTTGGTGTTGAAATGGAAATAATATGCAAATATTAATATGGGGATTGGTTTTTAGCGTCAATAGCGTAAAGATGCATTAAAAATCGTCCCAATCAGTTCCGAAAAAAGTGAAGTTAGAACAGCTTTACTGTAATTGTACTAATTTAAATAGTATTTATCACAAAGCTCTTTAATTTCTGCATACGGTAATACGACATGAAAAACTATTCTGCCAATTGTCATTTTTATCTATGGATCCATTTTTGAGATATTCACATCTGGACCTAATTTAATGGCCCTAGAATGCACATCCGAATTTGGATCGTCACCAAAACTTAATAATTTCTTCCTTGTAACTTGGTTAAACTTTCACGTAAGATTCATCAGTTGATTGCTGTTTGAAATATTTGATCAAAACCCTACTCCGGTGGTCACCAAAATTTGAACATTTCTTCATCGAAACATGACAAAATATTCTGGGTAGTCATTTAGAGCTATTGATTATTCTTAGAGATATCTAAGTCTGGGACCTTAGTATTTAAATGATCCTCAAATTCACACACCTGAATTTGGATCGTCACAAACACTTAATAATTTCCTTGTTGGGGCTGAGGTGGTGGACTCTCTCAGGCACCCATGGGTGCAGAGCATGGGAATGGATAAACGTCCCCGGGTGGCGCCAGAATTTGCCCGACGGGGTGGGGGGGGGAGCCGTGGTCCCCGACGGCGGCCCGATGTCCCCGGACGATCAAGGGGGAAATTTTCCCCGACGAGAACAAAGTGGGCGTGGTAGAACGTCGCTTTAAATGCCTCGAAAGTGGTCTAGGAAACGAAAATTTCTCTCACATCATGCCCCAACCACGGTGGGGCTGAGGTGGTGGCCACACGACTTTGAGGTAGGTCGAGTATATTAAATACATCAAAGAAAGTGTTTCATTAGTTTTATTTTCTATTGTATATACATCACTCGTATTAGGATCTGTTGTTGCTGAAAATCCCTGATTAAAAATCATGAGCCTAATTTGCTGGCGCTGTTATCTAGACTAAATGATAATGGTTAATATTTTACTGTATAAAAGTGTCTTTCCAGCCATCTAAAGGTACTATTTTCTCAAGTTTTCTCACCCCGGCCCTAACCATGGTGGGGCTGAGGTGGTTGTGGACTTGTAAATACATCAAGGGAATGTTTTTAAGTTTTCTGTGTACATCAGATCTCTGAGGTTGCCAAAAATCACTGATACTTTTGACTATACAAATGGTGATGTGATGACGAATTTTACTATATAAAAGTGTCATTTCCGGCCATCTACAGGTACTATTTCCTTAAATTTTTGCACGCACCACTACCGCCAAATCCTGCATCCACCACAGCTTTTTGGTAAGATTTTTGTACGTGTGAATCGGGTATTGGTTGCAGTTTGTGTAATCTTCGTTTACTCTTGATCTCTAGAGGGCGCAGAGCATTTTTTAATCTTTTGATCCATCACGTTTTTACACTACACGCGTCGATCGTACGTGCACGCAACATTCCGGGTGTTGTGGATTGGAAAGATTAGAGTACTCTGTTGACCTTTTGTTAAAGTCGTTGGTTTGACGTAATTTCATAGCAATCTTACACTACTTATTCTTTTCTAATGTAAAAAAATCTCACTCTGAAGAGTTTCAACGACGAAACAGTAGCTAGGCCCCTAGGCTAGGCCTGAATTACATAAAATAGCCAATCGACAGCAGCACTCCACCACTGTCAGCGCTTGTGGGCTAGCCAGTCAGAGAAGTAGACATGGAGATAAACGATTTTTCAAAACACATTCCGTATTTCACCCGTGGTGAAGTAGTGAAAGGTTTTGGAAGAGGAAGTAAAGAACTTGGTATTCCAACAGGCAAGTTAAAACCTTTTCCGTCCTTGCTTTAAAGTTTAGGACTTAATTAAGTGAATATTTCTGACTTTTTAATATTTAAGAATTTTGTTTTGAAGATGGTGATGTTATTGTAAAGCCCATTCCCGGCAAAATTTAACTAAGAAAATAATTTTTTTAGAAAAAATGCATAGGCCTACTACAGGCCTAGGCCTATGCATTACTTCTAATTATAATTAGCATTAATTTTAGTTTTATGAAAAAAGTTGGAAAAAAAATGAGAAATAGAGACTATTTCTCATAGGAGTACTATTTTCTTGATGACTTTAGAGATTTTAGATTGCATCTGCTGGAATGCTCTCGCTTTTGTTTATACTTTAATATTTGAGATCTGGACGCCGCCTAAGTAAGAACATCAAGGTGCAGAACATCAACTCCTTTTTACCGCTTTCCATCCGTATGCTTAACGACAATCTTCATTAACTTAATGTATGGTCTGTTGTATTGTATATTAATATATGTTATTATATGATATTTGTATGCAAACTTTATTTAATTGTATGTATTTTTGAGCTTTGAACAACCTATGTAATTTCCGTGAGGACAAATAAACTTGAATCTGAATCTGAATCTTTATACAGTCAAGCGTCGGAGGTAGGCAGGGTAATTGTTTCGCGAACCCGCCGCATTTCTATCATACTTGTTTTTTTTTTTACCTCACCCACCACTGCTATGAACTCTGAAGCAAGATAACATTTTTTAATTCATCCTACAATTATAGTTATTAATTTATCTGTTTTACTGGACTGTTTACATGGCCGATGCGATTATGAGCGATAAATAAAGTGTGCCCTCTCTAATGAGATTGGTTTTTGTACTTTGCATCTCGCACACTGCGGTCAATCGAGTAGGCCTGAGATATGTTTGTTTAATTGTCGAAATCTTGGTCAGAATAATTTTTTAACAAATTTGAAATAATTCCAGTGAAATTATATTTATTTATTTACTGTTCTAATTATTTATATAGTATAGTACAGCAGGCTACTGCCGTCTCAATGGCAAAACTACTAATTATATTTTTGTGCAGCCGAGTAATTGTTATGAATAAGGACAAAGACCAATCTTATACTTTATACTTTGCTAATGATTTTCAATCCTTTTGGTACATTTTTTCATTTGCTTAGTTACAGTAAGTCCATTTCCCAAGTAATGCAATTGCATTACAAGGTAGATTTATTTAATTTATCTACCTTGTTACTTTAAAAATCAATCATTTTACAATCTTTATTCTACAGTATTTGTCATGTTTCAAAAGAAAAACACATAAAATCGTTGTATGGTTACATATCACTTTTGCTGGTATAGTTAAGGGTAGGCATACCTACAGTAAAGATAAAGACATTACAAATAGGATACATTTTGTTACAAATAACTTTTAATTATTTGTTTATCTAAACCTTTTTATATACTTTACTTAAGTCCAAAATTTATCTTTATTTTGGGTAATATTTTCTATGTATACTATGTGTAATAACTAAGCTGTGAACATTTTTATGTAAACTGTAAATGAAATAAATATTGAAATTTAATAAATATTATTACTATTTATTAAATATTGAAATTTAATAAATAATAATAATAAATAAAGAAATGTAAGGCAAGACTTTTTTTTCCTTTTTTCGCACAGGGAAAAAATTTTTATTACCAAAAACATCCAAACAGAGAAAAAAATAAAATGTTATAGTTGAATGTAAACAGTGTAGTAATGGAATGGTTAAATGCTTTAAATTCATAAAATTAGGAGGAAATATACAAAATCTTGTTTTTGGAGATTTGAAGGCAGCAGCGGGCATAATTTTTTTTGTGGTGGCGGATGTATTAATTGGCCAAAATTAAAATTTTATTTTTATTGGCCATCATTATTGGCGAGTGGTGGATTCACTAAGGGGTCTATCACAATTATCAACATTTTCACAAGTGTACAAAGAGTACAGTACTCTTTTTTCGATACCCTCTCACTCCCCTCTGAAAGTGTATAAAAAAAATGTTGATTTTGCAAAACCATTGTGACATCAGCTAAAACAATGTACTTGGTTGCTAAAAAAATAAGTATTATATCCATGGTTACATTATAATTTAATCATTATTTTACATATTGCATGTTATATTGAATAAAAATTTTGATGCATATGTAAAAGTGTACAAATTTGTCTACCCCAGGCCCTCCTCCCTAGCGTGCTGTTTGTGCACTTGTGAAAATGTTAAACGACCCCTAAACAATATATACAAAATGTCTCGCCTAAATAATAATAAATACATGGTTTTTTTTTTCTGCAGCTAATTTTCCAATTGAAATTGTAAATGATTTACCAAAGGACTTTCCCACAGGTGTGTATTATGGATGGGGTTGTGTTAATGATGGGCAAGTGTACAAAATGGTCATGAGTATAGGATGGAATCCATTCTATAAAAATGAACAAAAATCAATGGTAAGAAATTTCCAACTAGTTTTTATATTTTATTTTTTTAACATTATCTGTATATTTGATGTATTAATGCATTAAAAAAATATATCTCAATCAGCATGTTTCGAAGTGTCATACGTCATCATTAGGTACTGTATATGTATATTTCCAATGAAAAAAATTGTTTGTAAAGAAAAATAAATAGTCATTGTAGGCAGCCTGTAAAATTAATATAGTTTATGCAAACTTCATTGTTTTAAAAACATTTCCATTAGATATTTATTTGATTTTGAAGAGAAAATAAAGTTTTAGGTAATAAGGAGGAGTGCAATTTACCATGGTTGGGGCTCATGCCTCTTAATCTCCACTCCTGAGATGTTCTTACTGTAGTCATAAGATTTAAAGTCAAGCATAACAACCATTCTACACCACTACTAGTAAAAATAGTGGGACAAAGAAGGATAAACAAACCTGAGACCATTGCTTTGTATTTTTATTACAATTATTTCTTTTCTTTTATAATATCTTTCAGGAGACTCACATTATTCATAAATTTGATGAAGATTTTTATGGTTCAACTCTAAGTTTAATTATTTTGGGGTATATACGCCCAGAAAAGAATTTTAACTCTTTAGGTAAGTTACTCTAAATGTAAATTGATTGCTTGCTGGATCCTGAATAAATTGGTTGGTTATTTCACAGACCCTTTAAAATTTCAAATTTGTATACTATACTGCAGTGGCTCCAAAAATTTGCTGACAAAGGGATTGACATGTCCAACAGAGAGTTCTGAACCAAGGGGCCGACTAGAGCATCGGAGTCCTGGAATAAAAAATAACTGGTCAGTGGTAGGGTTCACAGGGGACTTTTTACGGCTTAATATGGTCCAAATTGTGTTTATTAGGGATTTGCAATCAAAATAACGTTACTTACATAGGCAAATTATTATTTTTTTTAAATTCTGATCCGTCGACCTTGCATTGGCGTGGGACAACAGGTCCAGGCCTGTCCGACTAGGGAAAATTCTCCCTGCCCATTCCCACCCACCCCTTGCTGCCGCCACCTCTGATCCTATATTTATATCTTCTCGGTGTGCACTTACACATTGGTTTTGATTGCAATAAAATATTTATGCTGTGAAGCAAGCTTTATTGCATTTGTTCATGATTTCATCAATGTTTTTTTTGTTATTTATTCATGTCATATTTTAGTGGAGATGTAGCTTGGTGGTTAACATTCTTGCCTTTCATTCTCAGGGTCCTGGGTTCAAATCCTGTAACTAGTATATTTTCTCTTTTTTTATCGTAAGAAATGGTGCACACGCCCCCAGAGCTTTTTATGCTCAAGTAGTTTAAAATCACATTAACACCTTATTTTTTATAGTACCCATCCCCTTAGTCATCAAGTTCACCCCATCAGACTCCATCCCCCAATTTCAAGATCCCTAGATACACCGCTCTTCCTAAGCTTTGGAATGAGACTTGAAAGCTATGCACACATTGGATTAATTTTGACCAAGATGAAGAGTAACTCTGTAACTCTACCTCACTTAAATCATACTGCTGTTCATCATAGTTTAAGACCACTGTTTGTAGTAGGTTTTAAAGTAGTAAGGTTTTGTGCGTGCATGATCAGTCTAATTGTTCTGTAGATGCATTCTGTATAACATACGTTGAGGAAGATTTAACCGAATTAGAATGTTTACATTTGAAAATTCTCCTCAGAAAAAAGCAGCATGGTTATTGGCAATGTTCATGCAGTCAAAGTCTATTGTAAACACAGTTTAGTTTATTGTGCATCATATTATTTCAAATATAATTAAAAAGGCCATTCAATATCAGCTCACCTTCCGATAATAATAGTCGCGTTCTAAAAATATAGTTTAAAAAAAATTTAAGCAGTTTTTAATAATAAAATCTTCTCATTAAGACTTGTCATATAAATAAAGTTTATTCTTGTGATTTCAGATGAATTAGTAGCAGCTATAAAGTCAGATATAGCTGAGGCCGAAAGCCAGTTGGATAAAGCAGACAAGATTATACATCGAGAAAACAACTACTTCAAAGAGTTGAAATGAGAGCAGAATTTTGCAGACTGCAGCACACTAGCTTCCAAACACAGGCATATCTAAGTGTTTTGACATGGGGTAGGGAGGCCTGATCTGGGGATCAACAGGAAAGTGAGGGGATCTGATCTGATGGGGATGCAATAGGAGGGGATAAATAGATGAATGAGGTGATGGTTTTTTAACCTCCTTTATGTACTGTAATTTTTTTCTGGCAAATTTCCATTTCAATTGCAGATCTGAGGACCAACATTATTTTTTTTTTAAATTCTGGTGTTGGGGGTAGGGTAAATGATCTATATTGCCTTCCTTAGGTACAGGTATGCCTTGTTGTAGGCATACTGCAGTCCTCATTGCTGACTGTGGTACACAAGCTTACAATGTTTGTCAAGTTCTTTATGCAGACTGCACCACACTAGCTTTTAATATATGGGTCGAGTCCATAATGCTGAATCTTTACCTGTTTATGGGCTGGGCCTAGTTGTTTGCATACTGTAGGCTGTAGTACAATACAGTAGCTTTCACTATGGTATTTGTTAAGTGTGTAATTCTGTAGGCAGAATGCTAGCTTTCCATATTTATTAATCCAGTTCTTTATACAGACAGTACACTAGCTTTGAATGGTCCACTAAAATGTTTCTAATCTTGGGAAAATTTCCATAACAGAGTTGATCTCCAGAAAAATTTAACAAAGGTGATTAATGTCTATGTTATAAGAGTGTAGCTAAAGATCTTTATACACTACTGTACTAAGTTTTATGTGGAGATATGTGTGAGTTGCCCATGTGTGGGCATCATGAGGATAGATGTCATAGTACAACCGCATACTCTACGTATAGACAAACCATATGTATTTGTCACTGTAAACTAGAGTGTGTTGGATTGGATTGAATATGCAGTTGGTCCATTTAGCCCAACAATTTTGCTGATCTAAAATTGAGTTTCAGTATATGCTTCATTATATTCCACATTATTTTTTTACTTTGATTTCTGTTAAAGGTCAAATCACAGAAGTGATCTGAAATTTTGTGGTTTTAAATTTAAATACAGTATTGCAGAATGCATGAAAATTATGGATGTTTCCTTATGGAGTAAATGTAAAGACTCACAACTTAATCCCCCCCAATAGTCAGTGTGTTATTGCTTGAAATCCATGCTTCCATATAAATCAACTCTTGTTGAAACATATGGTTGATAATCTTTAACCTCAGGTCTTTATTGTCTCGGTATTTAAGAGAACTAAGTACTGTATTATAATGTTGGCAATATTTGTGGATTAAAATACTGCACTGTACAATGGACTTGCAATTTTGCAGATTTTGTTGCTGAAAGGGAGCAATTGTCTGATGACCTGTGTGTGCAATACAGTACACAATGCATACTGTACTAGAAGGCTAAGAAAGTTCATTTGAACTCACAAAGTAGGAGGATATATATATTATTTTAAACAAAGTGTCTTTCATAAATGAACAGTATCATATCTATTTAACAATGTTTAGATAGGTTAGCTCTTGAACATACTCATGGAGGCTGCCAAAAGGATAAATTTTTTATAATGAAAGCCTCCAACAAATTAATTGTAAGCCAACCAATTATATAGCTCATTGCAAGTATGTGCTGTATATGAAGTTTTACCATAAAAGGAAAATAAGTTTTATTGTTTGAAATTTATAACACATAGTGAACCTAATGTCACAAACTAATGTGTTTTAATTATATTTTTGTTGAATAATATAAAGATTAACAATTTGGATAAATTATACAAAGTTTAAATTTAAGAATGTTGATCAAATCAATTTATATTTTACATGTATCAGCACAATGCTAAGTATTAAATAAATTTACCCACGATGCTTATTTTGACAGAGCACAACAGCAGCACACAACAGCGACAGTGAAACCTATTATATTCCTTATGGAAAGCCACAATTCACACAAATTGTGCGTGACATGTCACTCAGCAAAGAATAACGCAATAGGATATTTTGACCAATTAGTGAGCATAAAGATGAAATGTTTATTTTTATTTTTGCTCAATGTGTACGTAGATTGTACAACGGAGTTGTCGCTGTTGCATGCTGCTGTGTGTTATGTGTAAATGTGTAAATTGGCATTAAAAGTGGTTGGATTTTTGCAGAAATATTGCTTCTATTCTGTGATACTTTTGTACTTTTTATCAATCAAGCTTATTGTACTGTAGAAGGTGTAAATAGTTGCCACCAGAGTTCCTTCAGTATTGTTTCACTCTCTCTGTTATACAGAGTACAAGAACTATGAAGCAATGTTGTATAAAGTTTTTTTCAGTGGCACCTTTTGCCCATCATACATAACTGAAATTGAAGTAATATCTCTCAAGACACTAACTGCCCACCATACATTTTCTCTTTCATGTCTTTTGCTGTTTTTCAAGTTCTGCTAGTCTTGCTGCCTCTTCCTCTGCTAACTTTCTTGCTTTCTTTGCTCTTCTAGATTTGTCTATAGCTTTAATTACTTCCATGGCAACTGGTACCGTGGCAATACCATTTATCTACATTCGCCAAAATAATGATATAACACAAGATGAACATAGTTACTCCAAAAAATATAACATCTTCATACATTCAATACTTTTATCATTTAAAATTTTCATTTCAGCAATTCAAAAAATACTTAATATAAATGATGGGTTATCTGGTAGGTTGTGAATTATTTGGAATGAAACTAGGAATGGCCATAGTATACATAACTAGGTATTTACACACTAAATTGCCATACGTGATCCAATAAGCGCCTCCCTCATACAAGGGTCGCACCAAAGTGTTATTTTTCAAGTACGGCATGTGCTGCATAGCATTTATAAGGCATTCTAGGCGAGAATATTTTTTTAAAGATTATCGGAAGGGGGCTGAATAAAACTAATTTATTGCTTAATGTAAAATAGGATGGTTAAATGCTTCAAATTTATATAATTAGGAAGAAATATACATATCTTATCTTTGGCGATTTTAAGGCAGCGGAGGGCACAATAAAAATTTTTTTTAATTTTATTTTTTTCTGAAATTTCCATGTTTTCGTGTCGGTGGGTGTGCTAATTGGCCAAAAATAAAATTTTTTAAATTCAAAATCATCAATATTTGCAGTCAGCGGGTTCGCTAAACAAGGTATAAAAAAAGTCTCGCCCTATGTTGAATAAAACTCTCGCAGAGAAAACATAGCCAAGATGCTTTGACTTCCTGTACTGTTGGAAATATTAAAACAGTTTCTCAAATTAAATAATAACACTACAGTACTTTGTATCAACTACTGTCCGCGAATAAATATGTTATAAGCACCACCTATGAAGTCATTCAAAACTGTATTAGTAATAGTAGGTCAGGAGCAAGTACAAGTGAGACTTTTTATACCTTTTTCGTGAATACGCCGCCTGCCAATAACGATGATTTCTAATAAAAATAAAATTTTTGGCCAATTGACACCCCCTGCCGCCACGAAAAAATAGAAATTTCAGAAAAAAAAGTTCATTCCTTCATTTTAATTATGCCTGCTGCTGCTGCCTTGAAATCTCCAAAAATAAGATATGTACAGTACATTTCTTCCTAATTATATAAGTTTAGTGCATTACCACACTGTTTATATTCACCAATAAAATTTGTTTATTATTTTCTCCGTCTGGATTTTTTTTCACTTACCGTTACTTTCACCTCATACATTCCATATTCATTCGTAATTTCTTTTGTAGGCATTGTGAGAGCATGGTCTGCAACCATAACACCTAGCTGCAAAAATAAAAATTGAATTCTCATAATTTACTATATTTCTGAAGTGAGTTTAAAGAAAAACGTTTGACACATATACTAGCTGTCCCATGTATACATGTCATAGGTGCTTGCTTTTATTTCAAAGGTCAGTAGGTCAATAGTGATATATCACACCAAGAAAAAAACAATAAATTGCTTATCCAGAGGGGAGGAGGTACAGGGGACCAAGACACATTTCCCCCTCCCAAATGTGACTGTCAAAACTGGCAAATTCATTACCAAAAACTGAATCCAAGAAATGAGAACTACATCACCCATCCCACATAAAAAATAAAAATGCCCCATTTGTCTGTGTTGCAGGCTCAGTAACAATATAATTGGTAATTGTTATTATCGAGATGGAATAGACAATAACTGGATATGCTACAGGAGAATCAAGTATTATTGGTGTAATTTTTGCACAACCTGACGTGAAAATGTACTGAATACTCAGTACGTGTAAAAACACTTGCAAAAAAAAATCGGAAGTTGTTCTTGGGGGGAACTCGAACCCACGATCTCCAGATCACTAGCCTGGCATCATACCTCTAGACCACCAAGCTTGCGCCGATGGCCAGGTTTTGAATTCAAGCCCAAGTAAGCAGCGGACACTGCAATGTGAATGGCAATTGTTATTATTGAGATGAAATAGACAATAACTGGATTTGCGTCTGGAGAATCAAGTATCAGTGTAATTTTTGCCCAACCTGATGTGAAAATGTACTGAATAAATATTTAAAATGTGTTAAAACACGGAAAAAAAAATTGTTTTTATCGGGGGTGGGGGAGGACTCGAATCAACGATCTACCCTGGCCATCAGATCCAAGCTAGGTGGTCTAGAGATATGATGCCAGGCTAGTAAAAAACTACACCTATAACGTTATAATTCTATTGTACTTTCAAGTGTTCATATATAAAATTTGTATAGTTGTATACAGTATTAGCTAAATATGGGACATATTTAAGTCTTACATTCTTCTTGAAGGCATGGAGCACCTCTTCCCTGCATAGTGTCCAATCAAGCTCCGGTCTCATCTCTACAGTTAAAGTCTTCTGCTTCAGGTATTCAATTGTCTGGAAAAAATAATTTCCATTTTGTTTTGTTACTAAAATATTATATACGCCTCGAAAGAATAAATGCTTTTTGAGGTCCTTCACAGAGTGAATGCTCTCTATATATAGCTATATGGGTCTGATAAGTTGAATATTACAATGAAAATATTTTGATGATCAATATATATTACACTAGGAGGCTGTCAGGAGTACCAGTCAATGTGCAACTCCAAGGACATAACTATATCAGAATGATAAGAACATTATATACTTTAATAAATATTTGTAGAGTGTTCAACACAGGTGTATACAATGCATGTGGCATATGTGAACATATGTCTTTGGAAGACAAATCAGAAGAGAGTACACTTCATAGCTAAATCGCATTACTTAGAACACCTTGTGTGAACATCGCTCTCAAACCAAAGAGGGCACACTTCTCCAAGGTATTTATATTAGGTTGTTTACCCTGCGTGCTGATGGTGTAAGCTTGGCATCTTCGCCTTGCTCTTCTCGAACTGCTGCCAGCTCTTCTATATTTTCTGGTGTTGCATATGTGGCAAGCTGGTTCATTAGTAATTTATTCCTACCAACTCTTTTAGTAACAGTAACTATTTCTCCCTTCAAGCCAATTTCTGTGAAAAAAAAATATCAGTCATTTTGAAGTTTAATATATAATCAGTGGTGTGCATACAAAATAAGGTGATTTTTATCAAATTAGTCGTGATTTTGTTTCTTCTAACATTTTCCAGGGGGGGGGGGAGAGAGACGACAGAGGCCCCAAGTTTTTTCAGGGGTGTGCACCCCCCTCCCTCCATACACACTCCATAGATACACGATTGTATATAATTTTTTTTTCATGTTAAATGGATTTCTATTTAGAAAATGGCATTGATTCTAACCTATTAAGATACTTACTTGGGACATCTTGCAAAAGTATCAACTGCAGATGACCTTGGGGTTTTAAGTTCAGGTTTTCCTCCACATAAAAAACTTTATGTCTTTTTTTCATTTTCCTCGGATATTCTTCACCAAACTTCGGCAAACCTGCTGGTGTAACCCGCCGAACTATCACTGTGTTCTAAAAACAATAATTTTTATACATATTTATGTTTAAAAAAAAACCTACGCACATAATCAAATTAAGGTACAGTTTAAATTATTGAAGTATTTTTACTGTATACTGCCTTTTGCATACAGGGATACAAGGAACGATTACACATTGTTATAGACAGTGATGTAGACCACACAGAGCCGCACCACCAAATACATAAGGATTATAATATTTGTGCACAGAATTGGTTTCTGGAAAAAAAAACAGCTGTGAAACTCTATGTACAGTGGGTTCCTTCAGAAGGTGAATAGGGCAGTACTCTGGGGGATGATTCTCTACTTTTTCTTGTTGAAACATATTAAATGTATTGTGTTCTTTAATGGCTGCATAAGCCACAATGCACACAGGACCAACTGCTTAAACATCTCAAGATGGTGCTCTATTGAATTTTACATTTCTCTCTGTTCATTTAATTTGCACCTTATTTATTAAAATTCGCAGAATGCTTATTCATTTTGTTCACAAGACTCACCCTGATTTGTTCTTTTATTACAGCAGACTTCCAGAAAGACTGTAGCAGTTGGCAACCCACTTTAGTTCCGAAGTTCCAACTCATCTTGAATGTTTAGAAAACTGTGATGAAAAATAATAGAATTGATTTGAAAAATAACAATAGTGTGTTCACATTGGTAGAGTGCCGTAGCTGCATTTTTATGCAAAAATTGGAAGAAATAAGATTAGGTGCAGTTCCACTGACACGCTCCCCAACCTCCTGAAAAAAAAGACATCATAAATACAACAAATAAATACATGTATTCTTATATCTATTCAATATCTTTTGCACATTCTTAAATCAGGTGGCAGCTAATTGAAGGATTTTGTAGTAAAAGTCTGTAATTCAGCAAAACTGAATTTACGATTGTCCCCAAATCACTGCAAAAACTGTGTAAATAAAAATATAAAAATAGCCACTACCAAAATAAAATAAAATTTTGATGATTTTTAGTGTATATTCAAAAATAAATAAATTTGGGAAAATGAATGTATGTATGCCTCTGGACCTAGGCAATTTTCTGCAGTAAATGGATCACTTCCTCCACTACAACAAAACAGTAACTTAACAACGTTTTCACACACGGATCTGGATCATTAATTTGATCTTGGGCCTAGCTAGCCTAGGCCAGGGCCTAGTCTTGTCTTTCCAGGCCCCCTCTATACTCCATCTAGAGCAGGCTGAAATTCACTTTATGTTGATGCAAATAAACATAATATACTGTATTTCATAGAGGAATAATTTGGTAACATACCTATTACAAGAAACAGCTAGATTAATAAAAATACATAATCTTTTTGAAACACATGGAGCAACCTACGGCCCTGACACAAACAGCGCCACCAATAATTATCGTCTTACCAACAAACAACAAACTTGAATTCCAGAACCTCAATTTTGCTTACAAAAATACAAAAAGGTTTGGGCTTGGTAGATTTTATGGGACTCTAACAGTAGTACTGTAAGCAGTTGACATTATTGATGATAACGAGTAAGTTATCCGTTTTCTTGATATCGTTATTATTTAGTGTTGTTCTATCTTGTAGATAGAGATTTGGTTAGGTAGGCCTAGGCTACCCGGCCCTAGGCCTATCTGAACGCTTGATTTAAGTTACGACCGCAGGCAGGGAAGCCGTGCCCGACTCCCGGCTTTTTGGCAAGACAGGAAAGACACAGACTAGCCTAGCCTAAACCTACATATACATAGGTATTCGGCCTAGGTTAGGCCTGCCACCAAGTGTACATATAAGAGTATCTTTGTACAAAAGTATTAATTAGCGTAAACGCGTATGAACTATGCTAGGCCTCCTAGGCTAGAGTAGGCTTAGGCCTATTGTATGTTTTATTTTTATTTGCCAATTAAATTATGATTAAAATTTTATATTTTTCGAATTTATTTATACACTTCTAAATAAATTGTGTTTTCTGTTTATCCCTAGATTTGCACCCAAAAAGGACTCAGTTATAGAATTGCTGGAACCATGGCAGATTCGGATTCTACAACTTTGGTAAGTTTAGTTAGATTATTATTAATAATATTTTATTATTAGTTTTTCATTCTTCATCATAGATAAAAATAATTATATTATGATTATGGATCTCCATATAATTTCCATTGATAAAAATGGTTTAAATTGTTCACTTCTTTTAAGTAGTTATAATAATGTTTATCCTATGCAGTAATACAAATAATTTTTATTGTAATCCAATATAATATTAATATAGATTGAAGTTTAACAGTATAAAAATCTGAACATGTTGGAAAATAAATATTTTATTGTAATAATAATAATAATAATAATAATAATAATAATAATAATAATAATAAAAGTTCATTCTTATAAAGTGCACATAAGCAAGCTCTCAATGCGCTGTGCATAAAAACAGAATAAGGATGTCATGTTGAATTAATGAAAAGCTTGATGGAAAAGAAAGGTCTTTAGCTTGGTTCAATGGTTTTAAAAGAGTTTAAGATAACACACTGTCTGATGGAGTTTGGTATGGAGTTCCACAAAGTTGTAGCTGCGACAGCAGAAGCTCTCCTGCCATAGGATTTAAATCATTTAGAAAAAATTCCAATAATTTATGATTTATAATTTTAAATAAATTTTGTCACTGGAAAGAATTTTGTAAGTTTTTTTTTTATTTTTTTTATTTTTTTTTTTTTATCGAGAAAGTGTATGAAGAACTGTTCCAAAATTGAATATATTATAATTTTATTTTATAGGCTGCCCTCAATTATTACTGTCAAGAGAAGCTATATAATCATATGCAAATAGTCGCAACTGAAGCAATCAAGAAGTATGGCAATGACCCTGTGCTTTTGTTTTACCGAGCCTTTAGCTTTGTTCTAGAAGGTAAGTTTTAAAAACAGTTTTCGAGATTCAAGATAAATTTATCTCATAGCAGTTTAAAATTGAATTGGGAAAATTTACAGAGACATTTAAAAATACAAATTATACAGTTAAAATTTGGTAAATATATATAACATTAATATATGACATTAAAAATTCATCGAAAGGTAAATATTTAAAAAAAATTTTAAAGACTGATTTATAAAAAACATCAAGATATAAAAATAAAGGGAAACAATCATGGATGACGATAAATTAAACAGCATTATGTTGTTGTTATGAATATCATTTTTATTATCGTATATTTTATTATTTTACAACATAAAAAAAACTTGATCCGTACTTTTCCAATAATTTTTTTTATGTTTCATATTTTGCTAAGGTCGTCTTTCCGAGGGCATGCGAGATTTGGAGTCACTGAAGGACAAAGCAGACGTTAATATCTGTTCCACCATGGCTCTCATGTACGCACACAAGCGCATGAAAACTGTCGGTAGGTGTCGCCAAATGCTCTCATTTTGTGTACTCCCAGCTTAATCATTTCCCTCACTACTTAATTTTATGGATGAATATATCTGTGATTTGTCCATATTTGGGTATAATGGTGTCATATCATACCCATAAATGGACATAATGATGTCATATCTCACCTATGTTTAGATAAAGCTCAGGTATTTCACAGTTAAAAACCTTTTTTTTCCTTATTACTTATAATTGGCATTGTTTTTTCTAGATCGTGAAGCAGTACAAGAACTAGATGCCAAGTTGAAAGAAGAGCGACGATCAGCAGGAGAGAAGGTGAAAAGAATCACTTATCATATGCCTTAATAACTAATAATTTTCAATGATAATGATGATAGTGTTAAAACAACATAAACAGTAACCAAGTTTTGATTGGATAGTATAATACATACTCCAAGTATCAAAATGCACGCCATCGTGTCGTGATTTAATATTTCGACATTAATTATGTCATCATCAAGAAGTTTTGATTGATCGTAGTACCATGACAGTGTTTTGACATTAGTATTAGTATTAACATTACTTATTAATTACATTAATTTGGTAATAACTAGCTGACAATAATTATAGTGACAACAATTAGTAAATTTTCAATTAAAAAAAAATATAATAGAAAAATATAAATATATAATAATAGTAGAAATTATAGATTGTGATTTTGTGATTGTGATATTTAATTTCATTTGATTGGTTTTCTATTTCTTTTTGTCCGTTTATTTTCAAGCCTGGCCATGAAGTGCCATGAACACTGAATGGTAGACACCGGCACTATAGAAGTCTCAGAATTATTATTATTATTATTAATACATAAGAATTATAACAATAATATTGAGTTTCATTTTGAATTTTTTCAGGGCTTATTGTTTGGCGGCACTTTCCTCTGGCATAGTGGTCGCCACGACAAAGCGAGAGAATATGTTGACAGAATGCTCAAGGCTTCACCATCTGCAAAAGAGGTGAGATATGTCCGATTGTACATATATTAACCCGGCATTTTCTGAATATTTAAGTTTTTCGTAATTTTTCCATGTTTATGTTTATGAAACTAATCTGGAGTTTACTATAAAAAATGCTATAATTAACATATGTAATTATTGTTGAATGTTTCAGGGTCTAATTTTAAAAGGCTGGATTGACCTTACCAGCGGAAGGGAAGCTGCAGTTAAGAAGTCTGGAAAATATTTTGACGAAGTATTAAAGTAAGTAATGTTTTTTCAAGGTCCTATGCAAGTCAGCTTTAATTTATAATTTTTGCAGAATTTCTGTGCGCATCTATTGGTGGTGTAGTATTAAATATTAGTTTGTTAAATTTTCCATGAGAACAAAAACAAAAAACGAACAAAATTCTGATTAGGTTCATCCATTACCATGATTACATTTTTTTTGTATAGAAACTCAAAAGAGCTTGCAGCGATGCTTGGTAGAACACGTTTGCTGATGATGCGCTGTAACTTCAGCGGCGCCCTCGATGTCGTAAATCAAGCAGTGGTCTCGTTTCCTGGTAGTATTCCAGCACTTATTGAGAAGATGCGTGTTCAGTTGGCGCAGGGCGACTGGGAGCAAGCCCTAGACACTGCCAATAGGTAGCAATTCAATATTATTATCGTTATCTACCGTATATACTGTATAAGACGAGGCTTAAAATAGTAAATTATGATAAGATAACAGGGGTGCGGGGGACGTCTTATATGTATGATATACAAATTTTAGATTTTTTAAATCATGTTCATCTTACGTACGGAAATAAGGTTTTGATGAACATTTGAAAACTCATAAAATGGTATTATTTGGAAGATTTGCTTTGCACTTGGCTCAGATTTTAGCCAGCTAGATGTGATGTTAAGACCATAAAAAGCAGAAAAAATATGAATTCCGATGACGTCTTATACGCCCAACGTACAAATATCTTCGGAAACTTGTCTTATACGTGGTTCGCCTTATAACATATATATGGTAATAGAATCATTACTGTTATGTTTAACATTGTTTATTATCATTATTATTATTAATTATGTATACTTCTGCTATATATGAACATTGACCTTTCGATCTTTCCTCTGATTTTCATTGTATGCGTCTGATTATATGTCTATGTGTGATGCATTATTTTGTAAAACCAAGGAAATGCATTAAAACAGAAAATGTGTTTCAGAGTCTTGGTTTTTACATATCTTGATTGGGTTTACATAATACAGAATAAGAAATTATATATTCTTTTTAGAATTCAAATAATTCTGTTATTTTAGCACAGCATTAGTAATTTGCTTGGGAAAAAAAATTATGTTTAAGTAGTTAAAAATCGCTTCATTTCACATTCTTTTGCCAGCTAATGCCCCTCCTTTTATCATCAAGGGCCCCTCCCCCACACTTTGATTTTGTTATTTTTATTTTTCAGAGCATTAAATCAATCTACTCACTGCTTAGAAGCTGTCCGAATCGAAGTGCTTTACCTGCTAAGTAAAGAGAGCAATTCTGAAGCGGTAAGCCAACATTCTACATACAGTCTATATATCTTCTGTTTGTAAAAATAATAACGAGTTAATCGATAAAACTGCAATAAAAATGATGGCAGCTATGACAATGAGTACAATACATTTTTTAATTGTAAAATTATTGATTGAAATGTTTTTTTGTCATGCAGGCTGTTTCAAAGTTGGGGGAACTTATTGAGAAGCTGGACAGATTTGAACCCAAGAACCCACATGCGTACTTCAACATGTCTTTAGCATTCTGTAGGATGGTAAGAATGTTCTAGCATTTACCATGTCATTTTATTTTATTTAAAATTGTTACATTATATAAAATATGTGGATTTTTAATTTGAACAGTAGTAATACATGCTTTATAATGTGTCTAATATATTTTCATAAATTCTGTGTTTATAGTGTGGACGAAATCCTGAGGTGTTGCAACAGACCAACACTTTATTGGAGCGCACTTTGAGCTTAGAACCGAGTAATGCAGAGTTTGCTACCGAGGCGGCGTATGAACTCTTGCTCCAGAATAAAACAAGAGAAGCGATGAAAGGTTATCGGCATGCAATGAAGCTGGATGAAACAAGTGTTACTGCCCTCACAGGTAACTAACAGTTTGTTTGCTTTGGAGGAAACAGTACACTGTACATGTCATAGTTACGGCAATGGCATACTTAGTCATAATATTCTGACATGGTGGAAAGGGTTGGATAGGAAGTGAATTGGGGGTAAGGGTGCTAGTTGAAGAATGAGGTGATTTTGAACTGTTTCTATAATATTGTTGTTCAGCAAATTTTCAGCCAAATTCTATGATTAATTATATACTGTATTTTTTATTTAGATAAACATTTTTACAGTAAAAAATATAAATATATTTGTAATGTACCTAAAACAGCAATGCCATTCTATCCTGCCTGCTATCTACGGTTTGAAATATCATACTAATATTACTTACATTTCTCATCTCATTCTTGTATGAAGGAAATTATTTATTTGAGGGCAGTGTTAGCCAGCAAGAAAAACAAGCCAGCTGAAGAAGTTGTCAGTCTACTGAATGAAGCAGTCGAAGTCCACTTTGTCAAGTTGAAAGGGATCCCTCTCGGCCCAGACTACTTTGCTGCCCTCAACCCTGACTTCCTTCTTGAACTCACCACTGAATATATGAAGTTTGCACCAACAGAGGTAAATTGCATTTGTAATTATATTTTACCTCTGTTCTTAGCTCTTAAGGTGATGTGTCTCTGTTTTACTCTTGTTTCTTAGTGTTGCATCTGTGTTTCCACTTGTTCCTCATCTTGTGTTTACTGGGTTTTCATGATGAATCTGGGCTCTCACTGCATCACTGTGCTCCCTTTATTTTTGTCATTGTGTTTCTGTGTTTTATTCTAATTTCTCGTTAAATCTTTGTGTTTCCTTTTTGTTTTTCACAGTACTGTATATTTTTTTATTTTACTGTTTAGCGCTGCCTTTTGTGCTCAATTTTTTTTTTTCATTTTGTCTCTGTGTTCAACGCCTTTATTTTAGACTGATTCTTTTTGTTTCTCAGTTTTTATATTCCTTCATATTTCTTCATGAGTCTCTGTGATCTTCTCTAGCCTCAAGCATCAGGCCAGTCGGTGTCTCCAATTCTAAAGCGATGCTCAATGGTCCTAGAACCCCTGACTAAGGCTTTACCAGGCCTGCTGGAGTCCCTCTTCTTGATGGGTAAAGTGAGGTTTCTTTCTGGGCAGATTGACCAGGCGCAGAGCAGTCTGCAGCATTGTTTGGACCAGAACCCCCAGTATGTAGAGGCCCACTTGTTAATGGCTCAGGTATGTATCTTCAATCTCTGCTATGTAGAATCTTTGTAACCATTTTTGTTAATATATATTAATGTGTTTTTACAGTGAATGTTGATTATGCTTATTTTAAGAATTTTGCCAGACTAATGTTATAAAAATTGATTTTTAAATAAAATTTTTTTCTTATAATTTTTGCATTAATAAGAAGCAATGTTATTAGGTTGCTGATTGTAACTATTGTGCACTGGTTCATAGATCGTGAAGCCTAATATTTTGTATTAATCTTTTTCTGTCAGATTCACATGCAACAAGGTAACTTCCAGCAGTCGTCTCAGTCACTAGAAATGGCACTAAGTTACAGGTTTGAGGTAAACAAATGATCATCACATAGCAATGGTTATGATAATAATTCTAATGGCAATGATGATGGAGGTTAATGATGTTGATGATGATATAAAGTATGAGTATGATTATAAAGATTTATCATTAATAATAATTATTAATTATATTTAATTAGCCTAACCAAAAAGAGGCCAAGTAGAGTATCTGATTTTAAAAATAAAGTACTGAGGAATGAAAATTTAAATCTTGTATGTTACACTGAAAATTGGAGTTAGCGCTCTAGTATTCTTATTATAACTCGCACATGGAGTTGAATCTCCCCTCTGAGAACAAATATCAGAGTGTCTGTATTCTTAGTTCTATAAAAGATTTTTAAAAATACATATTTTGCAAAAAGTAATAATGTACATTGTTAACAATTAATTATAATGATGATTACAGGTACGCGAGATGCCAATTTACCACCTCATCAAAGCCAAAACACTGAAGAAGAAAGGCGACTATGAAGAATGTGTGAAAACACTACAGGCTGCCATGAACTTACCTGGTATGCGCAAGAGAGGCGGGTCTGCATCCAAGCGGGCGAGGCAGGTGAAACACCCTATCAGCTCCAATGACAGAGTGTCGGTGTACCTTGAACTGGTTGAGGCTTATAGACTCACCAATGCAACTGTAAGTTCTTTTAATATTTCACCACATGTAATAGCCAGTGTCGTAGTAGAGAAGGTTTAATAGGTGTTGGTTTTCGGGCAGAGAGGAGGTGGGGGGTGCTGGGTGTTGTCCAGCTTTACACCCCCAGCAATGTCATTTGGTTACTAGTAGTAGCGTCCCATACCTACTACATAGTAGAGGCGAATCAAGATTTTTTTCAGGGAGGCATGAGGAAGAGTGTTCGCCATATATATCTCTTATCTAAATTATTTTACACTTAGTGCTGTCTTTGGCCGCTGCAGGGCTTGGGGAGAGCGAACGACTCTTTGAAGACAGCTTGAAGATTAAAATTTTTGTTACTATTAAGAAACGTAAGAAAAGTTGAACTGTTATTGATTAATGTCTTTAAGGTATACCATCTTTAAACATCAGGAATTGATTGATTAAAAGGATAAAAAAAAAGATTACTGTACTTTTATTCTTATATTTTAGCATGAAGCTGCAAAGATTATGCAAGATGCCATTAATGAGTTTAGTGGTACACCAGAAGAGATTCGGATCACAGTTGCTAATGCTGACCTTGCCCTGAAACGGGGTGATGTGGAGCACGCACTAACAATGCTTAGGAATGTCAAGCCAGAAATGAGGTAATGGTAAATCAAGAAAACAGAATCATCATCATCATCATAGAGACGCTATTCATCTATCGACATCGTGCATTTTACCAAAGCTTACAGTTTTTCACAATCTTCAGCAAGACAATGTTAGACCCATGTAGATATTCCTTGGTTTCTCTCTGAATATTACTCAGCCATGTTACTTTCTGTCTTATGGTTTTTTTAGTTTTTCAATTTCATTTTTCTAAAACCGTGTGTGCTGGAATGTCGCTGTGTAGTCTAAGAAAACACAATATGTTTAAATATGCATGTGTAGACAGTAATCTTAGTATATTATTTTATTACCTTTTAGCTATTATGTTGAAGCAAGAGAGAAAATGGCAGAAATTTACCTTCATCATCGTAAAGACAAGCGCTTATATGCAAGCTGTTACAGGTAACAACATTTTTATAACATACATTTAATTGTAGTTTCATTATTCTAATGTTTAGGTACATTGATTAGTTCTAGAAACACTCTGGCTGATTGAATAACAGATCTTTTTTTAGGGCTAATATACTCTACCGCCTCTATTCCCCTGCCCTCATCTGAGCTTTCGAGATAACGAGAACTTGTTTTTTCTAACAGTAGCTCACCCTTGTGTTAATGATCTTAAGTTCTGTCCACACTGTGTATGCCCATATATAGTCATGATGTGCCTATATATGGTTATAATGTGATGTCATCATGACCATATATAGGCATGTCACATGTTTTTGTCAAATAAAATTTGATAGTGTGGACTAGGCCTTATTTGTATAATATTAATCCACAGAGAGCTTGTAGAGAAGCATCCTAGCCCCCATACATCACTGCTATTAGGTGACGCCTACATGAGTATTCAGGAGCCAGAGAAGGCCATTGAGGTGTATGAACAGGCACTGAAACGTAACCCAAGAGACAGCTCTCTGGCTAGCAAGATTGGACAGGCTCTCGTCAAGACTCATCAATATGGAAAGGTATGTTTTTGTATTCCAATTTTTAGGCTGATTTTTAAAATAATGATTTTTTTCTGTGAGATTTCAGCACTGTAAACCCTGTAATGTTTGCGATATATTGTTTGATGATTAATCTTTATTTGGAAAATAATTGGTCATAAAATTCATGGATTTTCTAATTTAATAAGGCCAATTATCAGTAATATTTCGACAAGAATATCTATCAAACCTAATAATTGCGAATATAATATTTTATTTATTTCAGCATTAAAGCTTTATACATGGGCATTCATAGTATATTCATAAATCTTACATAAACTTAACTAAATCATTATACATTACAAGTTCTGGCTGGTTTCAGCTAACAAAGTACAGGTGTATGTAAAAATATAAGGCAACACTAAATTTTATATAGAGAATTAATAGTAATGACATAGATAAATATATTTGACATAATTCCGTAGATATTTTATTTAACATAATGTGCATATCTATGGTTTGATTACCTAGGCTATAAATTATTATGAAGCGGCTCTTAAATCCGGGGGCCAAAGCTTCATGCGCCATGACTTAGGAGAGCTGTTGTTGAAGCTGAGGCAATATACCAAAGGAGAGAAAATCCTCACCCAAGCATTGGAACACGATCCATGTAAGTTTGTACTTATCTAAACTTATTTCAGGCTTATTATTTTATTGCCTGGTAAAGCAAATAGTTGTTTTGTTGAAATAGACATTCATCTTATATATAAACATGCAGCTTTACTGTGAATGTCTTATTGTGAATAATGTATGACCTCATTCCAAATGTTAGTTTAATGTGTGACCTTTGAACTTATGTTTTGTTGATGACCTCTAACCTCTTCTCATCAGCATCTGATTTAGCTGTGATGGTTGATGATGTAAAGCTGCTGATTCTGCTTGCTAAGGTACAAGAGAAGAATAACAAGTTGGAGAATGCTTTACTAGCATTGACCAAGGCAAGGGACATGCAGGCAAGGGTTCTGAAGAGGGTCCAGGTGGAGCAGCCAGATGCTTTACCAACACACAAACAACAGGCATCAAGGTATCAGATCCTCAACTGTATTCTAAAACTGGGTACTGGGTTCATATTTTCCTAAGTTCAAAGATATTTTTTACTTAGCACCAAATCAATTTTATGACCCTCAAAATGAAATACAGTATATTATAGAGCCTCTCATGAATTATAAATGGAGTGGAGTTGAATAGCTTAGTGGTTAAGGTGCTTGCCTTCTAATCCCAGAGGCCTGGGTTCAATTCCTGTCACATCAGTCTTTTTCTCACAACTGAAAACAACTTCACTTCCTAGGGCTCTATAAGAGGGTTGGTTTATAAAGCATTGTTCCATCCTGTGAATTGCAAGTATACTTGCTGTTGGATGTGAAGGAAATTAATAAAAATAAATAAATAAATGCTGTATCAATCAAATGTATGTGGCATAAAGAAACAATCATACTGTTTATTCTGTTGTCGGTATTTATATTTTAGTTGTTCATCTTTAATGTGTTCAGCAGATGGATACTGCAACAGAGCAGCCAGTCTTGATTGCTTGTAAAACTTGATGAAATATATACAGTAATTAATATACATTGCATGTTTATATTCTATGACCTTTGACATATGACATAGCCATGTATACTTGAAACTACAAGATGTCTTATTGGTTTTTGATGAATTTCAGCTTTAGGTAACCTTGATTGTGTATAGCTTTCAGTTTTAATGTTTCAAATTTGAATAAACATTTTATTGTCATACTCAAGTATATGTGCTCAGATTGCTAAGCATCACAGCGACCAAAGAGAGTATGAGAAAGCCATCAAGCTGTACAAGGAAGCACTGGTCTACACAGAGAATGATGGCAAGGCCATGCTTGAGCTGGCTAGGCTCTACCTGCTCCAAGAAGATTTGGATGCCTGCCAACATCAACTGGTCCAACTTCTACAGAGTGAAACAGAAAACGATGCTGCAACGGTGATGATGGCAGACTTGATGTTCAGGAAAGGGGAGTACGACCAGGCTACTTTCCACTTCCAACACTTATTGGAAAGGTCACCAGGTAAAAAAGTCACTCTCACTGTATGTTATAAATTTATTGATGTTTTAACAAAGCTAGTGTAATAACTATAATGCTTATATGATATATAATAATAATAATAATAATAATATATACCGCACCTTTTTGCCTGGGGATGTAATGTGCTGGTGATGTTTTTTATTATTACCACTGGTCATCGGATCCATAATCAAACCAGCACGAAGTGCAACCTCCTCCCTTCTCTGGGAAGTATTCCAGTTGTGCTTGCAATTTAATGCCAACACAGACTAAACATTTAGTGCCACATCATCCTACTGGGTACCCATTTTTATCATCTGGGAGGATATATACTTTTGCCTTTGATAGAGGCAATTGGCGAAAAGTTTTTGCTCGTCATCCTGGCTGTAGGAACTAAGTCTGAGTCTATATAATATATACATTTATAGAAAGAGGCTACTGTGATAAATATGTAAACAAATTGGTAAATGATAGGTAAATACATAATAACTTGAAGTAACAGTAACGTTATGATGTATACACTACAGACCATTATGAGGCGCTGGAGAAGCTTGTTGATCTGCTGCGTAGAGCTGGAAAGTTGGAAGACGTTCCTCGCTATATTGAAATGGCAGAATCATCATCAGCCAAAGCTACAATGGAACCCGGCTTCAACTATTGTAAAGCTTTATATGAATGGTAAGTAATGTAATGTAAAAATATTCATAAAGAAGTTTTTAATAATAGAAATAATATGTTTATTCTTAGGCGAGACTTTTTTTATACCTTGTTTCGCGAACTTATTTTTTTGAAGATCGTCAAAGGAGGGCGGAAAAAAATATAAATAATTTTTTTTCTTTAGCCAATAGTTTTGCCAAATACATCCAGATGGGGAAAAAAATAAAAATAAAACTTTATTGGTGAATGTAAACAGTGCAGTAATGGGATGGTTTAATGCTTTATAAATTTATATAATTAGGAATGGGATGGTTAAATGCTTTAAATTTATATAATTAGGAAGAAATATTCATATCTTATTTTTGAAGATTTTAAGGCAGCGGAGGGTGTAATATAAATGAAGAAAATCCTTTATTTTTTTTCTGAAATTCCCAATTTTTTGTGGAGGCGGGTGGACTAATTGGCCAAAAATATAATATTTTTATTCGAAATCATCGTCGTTGGTGGGCGGCAGGTTTGTTAAACAAGCTTTTAAAAAAAGTCTTGTTGTATCTAGCGCATAATGCCTTTAAAAACCTTCATACACTTGGAAAGCTAAAAATGTTGATTGCAACTTCAACAGAGTTTGATAGTATCCAAGCCATAATTAGTAATAACAATAATAATTACAGCTTATAATGGATGAAAACTAGCTTGTTGTTCTCAACTTGGAGAAAGCAGTATCAGCAATTTTGTTGAAATATTTTCAAATTTATCATCATCATTCAAGGACATTTAATGAAAGAGGTTAAAGGTTATAAATTTATATTTATACCGTGTAAAATGGGGGTCTCTATTTGCTAAAAGCAAGTAAAAAGATTTTGTTGGAAAAACAAGGAAAGAAGAATTCCAAGCCAGCACCCAAATCACAGTATGGGGATATGCACTCGTCAAAATGTACCTGTCCAGAACCAGTTGAGTCTCGGACATCCCTGGTCTCAGGTGCCTCCTATCCTTATAGAACTAGAAAAAATGATAGCTGGCATGGAATGGAAAAAAAGGGAGTAAAAGAAGAGAACAAAAAAGAACCTGTATTATTTCTTGACAGGCACACAGGAAAAGTAAACTTCAGAGATGTAGAATATTTTAGAGTATCTTACAAAATTCCATTTCTTGACAGGCACACAGGGAAGGCAAATGATGCTCTCAAACACTTCAACATGGCGAGGAAGGACACTGATTGGGGGCAGAAGGCCATTCAGAACATGATTGAGATCTGTATCAATCCCGACAATAACACGATTGGTGGTGAGACTTTTGAGACGATGGCCGATGATGTAGCGTAAGTTGGTTACTTACATAATGGCCAAATATGTATTGTTGTTTTTCCGTCCATAAATTTTGTCTTTGCCTATTCCTTATAAAGTGGACTACACTCTTTTATATTGCTTTGCCGCTAATAGTAATATTGATAATAATCTTAATAACAAACTTAATAATAATAAAGTATTTTAATACATTATGATACATATTGTGATTCTGTTGTCTATTATAAACATTATTAGACTTTTAAGAACACTTTAAGTCTGATTCTATTTATAATGATAGGAGTGCTGCAGAGAAGGCAGACTCAGAGCAAATGGCAGCGAGGACTGCAGACAAACTGGTCAGGGTGAGTTCTTAGATTTGTTTCATTCATAAATTGATATTAGTTTATTCAAAGTTGATATAATAATAATATAAATATTATTATTCTATCATATGATTTTTTATTATTAAAAATATTATTGATAGTTGTAATTTTTAATTTTTTTTTATACCATATTTATAGAGGGTGACCCTTCCAGCATATCCTAAATGTCGGCTGATATTCCGAGGCCTCTTAAATACATGAAATAGCATGATACTTTTATCAGCGAAGCCTTTTAATGAGGCTTAGGAAGTAAAGTTGTTTTAGTTGTAAGAAAAAGTCTGTCACAGAATTGAACCCAGGACCCTGGGATTAAAAAGCAAGCATCTTAACCACTAAGCTATTCAACTCCACACTTGTTGTTATTGTGGCCTGATCTTTATGAAATAGCACTCTATTGCAGTGTATTATTATTCAGTTGATATAAAAATTATTAATATTGATTATTAGTTTGTTGTAATTATTAATTATTAATTATTTTCAGGAGTTGAAGCCTCAACCAGGTTCTGATAAACACCTGATGTTGGAGAATTATGTCCTCATGGCAACCAAATCGAAAACAAACATTGAAAAAGCTTTGGCATCATTCATGGAGATGGCAACATCCGAGGTAAATTAGAAATTATTTTACTTTTTTTTTTTTTTGGTATTTGTGCGGAGTCTTTACGAAATGGGTCAATATTTTAAAAAAAATAATTTTTCATATTTAAAAGACTAATTTTGTGATGACACCTCATATTTTATGATAAAATTAATAAAGAATATATTTGCTATTGCTATAATGCATATTATATATTAAACAATTTAAATATGTCTTGTCTTCATATTGATGAGATAGAGGGAAAACATTGGAGCCTTGCTTGGTGTTGCTACGGCATACATGATGATGAAGCAAACTCCAAGAGCCAGAAACCAACTCAAACGAATTGTCAGGATGAACTGGGTGGCACCGGTAAGTAGTGTCAGTCTATTGTTCAGCTGCGTACAAAACATCCTTTTTAATGACAGTCGCTCAGTCCACCATTGACAATCAGCGTTGTGTCTTCAGGCTCAGAGATTGGAGGTACATTCTTCGGCTGAGAGTCATATGATCGTTGCACCACGTAGTGTGGGCCTGGCTTTAAACGAGGACACTTCAGTCTATAACCCTTGACCTTGATGGGGAATGTTACTAGTAGTAGCTGCTATAACAGTAGTAGTATAATACTATTGTTATTTGATATAATTTTTTAACATAATTTGTTTTTATCTGGGTATTTAATAGCTTAGATGCTTGCTTTCTAATCCCAGGGTCCCGGACAGCAGGACTTTTTTTCTCACGACTAAAAACAACTCCACTCCCTAATCCTCATGAAGAGACTTGGCTGATAAAAGCATCACATTATTTCATATATTTAAGAAGGCTCCTGAATATCAGCTGACAATCTAGGATACGCCATCTATAAATAAAGTTTTAAAAAAAATAGTAAAAAAAATATAGGCCAATCTAGTTATAGAAATAAACACATTGACAAATATTAAATAAATGTGTGTTCATAGAAAGTGATTTTTTTTTTCAGGATGCTGAGGAGCTGTCTCTTATACACATCTAGATGTGTATAAGAGACAGGGTATATATTAACTTACTATTTTACAAAAAAAAGAAAAAAATGATACCGGCCAGTTTAGGTTTCTTAAACTGAGTATATATAAACAATACTATTCCCCTGTTTAGTGGTATAGAAAAATATTTCCTTATTATTAATTTTGTAATAGGAGGCTTTTTGTAAATGAATTGTTTTTTTTAGTGAAGATTCCTAACTAAATGTATTGTTTTATTTGTGTAAGTCTTGTTGCAAGGCATATGAGTATATGGGATTCATCATGGAGAAAGAACAGTCGTACAAAGATGCTTCAGTCAATTATGAACGTGCTTGGAATTTTAGCAACAAGAGTAGCCCTACAATTGGTGAGTTAAGAACTATATATAAAAAAAAATTATACGAAGCTACTATAAAAAGTTCAAAGCAAATCCTTGCTGAGCCACTGGGGCTCATAGGTCTGGACCTTATTCCCAGTTTCTGTAGGTGAAGCGGATGAGATTGTAATACTAGGGAGCCTTTGATTGCATGACGACTGTAGGAAGTAGAACGTAATGATGCCACTTAAAGTCATCTGTGCATGCGAGAACGTTAAGTTCTCTTGGTCGCGTGGATTCACGCAATTTGGTCAAATCTACGTATACAGAGGACGTAGGACGCCTGACGGTCATACATGAGTGATTCTGTTCTCGCGTTGCCTCCTCGAACAAATCAGAAGCTCCATACTCACGCTTGGTGGTACACTGGTCCACTGCAATTTGCTGGTACCCATTGATACAGCTGGGTAAACTGAAGCAATGTAGATAAAGTGCCTTGCTCAAGGACACAAATAAAATGCACAGGGATTAAAACCCCAACTTTGAGGCTGGGAAACCAAACCATTCCCACTGCTTCAAACTGCTTCCACAAGTTTCTGGAATTGATATAATATGACATCATTTATATAATCGAGACATTTTTTAAGAAAATGTTTTGTAATATATTCAACAGTAGTTTCAAAAATAAATTTTTACATCTTTTTCTCCATCTGGCCTCCTACTCTCCTCTCCTCCTTCACTTGCCACTTTGCACTCACTTCTAATACTCATTTTCCCCTCCTACTCTTTATCTCTCCCCTCCTACTCTTCATCTCCCTCCAAAATACCCACCCTCCTTTTGTTCATGTATAATTTTGTATTATGTTGTACATTTAGATGTGTTCATATATGCAATATTTTTCTTTACTTTATATATTTTTCTTTCATCAGGATATAAGTTGGCATTTAACTACATGAAAGCGCGCCGCTACGTTGATGCGATCGATATCTGCCACCAAGTCTTAGCTGATAATCCAAACTACCCCCGTATGAGAAAGGACATTCTAGACAAAGCACGGGCTAGTCTACGAGTTTAGTCATCTGTGTGGAGTTCTTAATTTCTAGACAAAATATGTTTCACATCAAACAAATAGTATAGTAACCTATTAAGATCTATCCTCACTTATCTATCAAGTTTTATCAGAATATCTGCGATTTACCCATGTATAGGTGTGGTATCATATGATGTCTGTATATGAGCAAACCACAGATGTTTGTCACATAAAATGTAAAGTGGACAGGCTCAACCATGTGATTCTCTTTATAGTAGGATTTTTAGACGAAATGGAAATCTTGTCCTTTTACAGGATTTGAATATAGAAGCCTGTGATTACACAGCAAACATCTTAATTACAAATCTATGGCTACATTCTGCTTGAATATGTTGGATGTGTTATATTTGATGTATGTAAACCTGGCTTGTCTTATGCAGATTCAGCATGCAGTTATTAAATTACTTAAACATTTTTTAATTTGATTAGCTGTGGCTAAAAGAACTGAGTATTTTTTATGCCTTTATTTTTATTTATAAATCACCTTGATATTTGTACATAAAAAGTAAAAGATTGGAGTAGCATGTAAGTGGAATTGTAAAGAAGAGAATTTAATTTTCTATAGAGGGCGAACTGCCATGAAAATGTAAGAGTGAATGATGCAGAACAGTTTGAACAAGATGATGTTTTAGATATTACAGCATAGTATATCACCATGGAAATTACAATGCAGAATATGTATGTCTGTGGCTCAATAGTAGGACATACACTTTATCAATCAACAGTTGTTATAAAGTTTAAACTTATTTATGTATGTGAATATTTAGCCTTTATAACTATAGTATTAATTATATGAATTTTAGAAACAATTCCAATTTGGCAATATATAAACTTTAATTTTTTGTCGTACTTTTAGCAATGAAGCTGATGTCAGTTGTTTTTTTTTTCTGCATAATAAACACATTTTACAGAATTGTAATTACCTTACAAGTTATTTTTGTGTCCATTCGTTTATGTTCAGTCGTGTTTATTGTGCATATCTACAGGGATTGATTGATTGAATTTATTCGATAGTCAACATGCACAAACAATATAAAAATGATTTGAGAACAATAAAAGTAAACATAATTGGCATCAGGAGCGCCAATTAGGCCGGAATCCAACACATTTGCAAGTAAAGTATCTCATTGCTTATAAAAAAAAAATAAATGGCCTCTTCTCAACTTAAATGATTGTATTTTATTTGTTAGTCTTTATTTATATATCTATACTTGTATATACATATTTATATATATATTTATTTATTTATTTTAATTAAGTTATTTATTTATTTATTTATTTTTTATTTTTTTTAATAGAAAAAGACAACTTATTAATCTTACATACTAATTATGTCTAACTGTTACGCAAATGACAGCCCATCGAACCATGACTGTTTATCAAATTTAATCTTCTCCGCATTTTTTAACATCTCTGACTTTGACGCAAATACCGTCCCTGATAATTTCACATCTAATATAGACCCCGACTCCCAGTTGTTTTTTTCAAAAGTAATCATAGTCCCTCACAATATTACGATCCTAACAAATTTCCTGTTGGCACACTTCATGATTGTTTTTCTACCATCCACTTTAATTCAAGAAGCATCCTAAAACATTTTGATGATATAGAACACAGAGCCCAAAAAGACGATGGAGGAGTAGCCATGTATATACATGATACTCTTCAATTCTCTAATAGAAACGACCTTCACCCGCACCCGTCCACTTGTGAATCTGTTTTTATTGAAATTGAAAATGTCCTCGTCTTAAAACATTATCGTTGGCACTATCTACAGACCCCCTTCTTCTGATCCAAATCAATTTATAAATGAACTTGACTGTACCCTTTCTAAATTAACCAAGAAAAACAAAATCGTTTACATTCTTGGAGGCTTTAATATTGATATTCTCAATATTAAAGGAATTACCATCGACAATAGCCTTACATGGAAAAACCACATACAAAAAATTGAGAATAAAGTCTCCAAAAGCCTTGGTATCATATCCAGATTATCTTCATTTTTACCCCTTAGTATTCTCAAAACCCTTTATTGTTCTCTCATCCTTCCTTATTTGAGCTACTGTAATATTGTATGGGCCAACACGTATCCAACCAACACCAATGAACTCAATATCTTCAAAAGAAAGCTGTAAGGATTATATCTGGCCCTCCTCCATGGTCGCATTCCTCCCATTTATTTTTCAAACTAAATCTCCAAAAACTCACAGATATTAATTTAAGGTTTGTTTGTATTCTCACTCCATTCTTCCAAATCATTTAAATGCCATGTTTGCTCCTAACCAGAACTAATATTCATATTCCCATCCACAACACAAATATTTCCAACATAGTATTAGGTACTCTGGACCTTCAATGTACAATAATTTACCTACTACAATATTAGATGCTGCCTCTCTTAACTCATTCTTCAAGAAACTAAAATCTCACCTTTTGTCACTGTACTATTAGAAAAAAATTACACTCGGTCATTGTTGTGTGTTCTGTAATTTAAAATATTGTTGTCCTGTTTTTTTTTATATATATATATTGAATTTACTCTTATTGAATTATTCTCACTATATATTTTTTCGATTTTTTAATGTGTGTGTATGTATATATATATATATATATATATATATATGTATATATATGTATATATATATGTATATATAACATAAATCAAGGTAGCCGTTAACACTGTTAAATCATATATAAATCATCAAAGAAAGGTAAATACAGTGTTCGAATAAAGGACTTAATAAATAAATACATCGTGTAGCATAGCTCTCAACGAATGTAGTCCTGTAAATAAATGAATAAAGAAATTGTGTAATAAAATGCCTCTGGCGGGACTCGAACCTGCGACCTCTCGCTGTCAAGGCGAGTGTCATAACCACTAGACCACGGAGGCTTCATGGGTGAACAGATTCAAATACCACCAGATACACTCTATTACACAATAGGTACGGCTAGAAACAAATAGGTGCATATAACAAAATGTTTATATATATATATATATGTATGTATATGTGTGTATATATATATTTATATATAAAATGCAAAAGCAATGAAAAAACGGTATACAATCATTGAAAGTTGACTTGCAGAACACAAATTTATTAAGCTATAACAAAATCAAACGGATATTTCGATATCTCCTGCTATCTTCATCAACGTTAAAGTGAGAAAACTTGGGAGATCTTACATATACATAATGAATAATAAGCCAATCAGAATCAAGTTATCAATACAATTAGTTGATTGGACCACAAAATATAAGTTCAGTGACAAGTTAATGGGCGAATTAATTACTGTACAATTAAACCATGATAAGATGTCGGCAAAATGATATATATGTATATATATATATATACTGTATATCAAATTTATTCTTATTGAATAATTTTTACCATTACTCTTTTGGTTTTTTTTTTACCTTATTGATTTCTCTTTTGCTCAATTATTTATTATTTTCTCCACTTCGCTCCACTATCCCCACCCCCTGTCAGGGCCTTTTGCCCCTTCGTCGGGCAGATCCTGCAGCCATCACTGATATGCAGAACCGTAACTACTGCATAATACATGTGTTATAATATTAAAATTAGTTCAAGACCTGATTTTCGGCAAGACCTGATTTTCGGCAAGACCTGATTTTCGGCAAAATCTGCGCGGAAATAGGCCCTTATTTTCCAAAATGCGCAGACGGATATAAGGCTATTCCAATGCAGGCCTTACTTAGTCTGGGATATGTAATAAAAATACATTCATACGTGCCATAATATATATGTACACAATTAAATCGTTATTCTATGATTATCGCATTTATAAGTTATATATTATTTTTTATCGTTTATGTCATGTAGACCACCTACAAATGCCTACGTCAGTCAACATAGCTTATATAAAGTTCTAAGGCTCCTCAAGTGATTTTAGGTCTGAATTCGCATTTTCAGTTGTCAATGTTCGTGCTCAGCGTCACCCAAGCTGAAGTCCCCTTCAAAATAGGCTATGAGAACCATCATTGTCCATCCGATACACAGACCAAGGTTCTGTAGTAGAAACGTCTGGAGAGGTTTTGCTGATTTCGTGTGATCAAGTTCGGGCATCTGTCAAAATATAAGGATCCAATAGTACGTACAATGAAGGACATGATAATACATCGTGTTGCATAGTTCTCAACGAATATTGTCCCATAAATAAATTGTGTAATAAAACATAACAAAATGTGTCTGACGGGATTCGAACCTGCGATATCTCACTGTCAAGGCGAGTGTCACAACCATTAGACCACAGATGCTTCATGGTTTAACGGATTTAAATAAGGTCAGATACACTCCATAACACAATAGGTACGGCTGGAAACCAATAATAGCATGTAATATAAATCAAGATAGCCGTTAAGAATGTTATGTAAATATCAAATCATCAAATGATTGATCATTTGATGGTTTGATCCAATTGGGAGTGGATTCAATTCTTACCAAATCTACGAGGGAAACGTAGATGAACATTCCTGCTGTGACAGCAAACACCCATTGATGGATAGCAGTGCCTTCCCCGGCAGCTATTCCAATATACAACCCAATAAATGCCATACACGCAGTGCCGAAGTTGCACAACAGCGCCTTTTTTACACTAAGACCATTATTAACGAGGACAGCAAAGTCACCTAAAATTAAAGAAGCAAACTTTTAATCATGATGTAGTTAGTTTCATAATTAGGCCTAACTTATGAGAATGATTATTATATCTTATCAACAATCAAAAAAACATTCATCATCATCGTCGTCGTTATCATCGTCATCATTATCAAACATCAACATCATCATCATCATCATCATCATCATCATCATCATCCAATTCCTCCTTATCATTATCTGCTCATCGTCGTCTTTATATTCTCATCATCGTCCTCATGATTTGCCCATCATCATTTTTGTTATAAGAAAACATTTGGCAAGTTCTCACCTAATTCGTGGGGGAGTTCGTGGAACATAACTGCAATACAAGTGGACACGCCCACTAATATATCGGCGGTGAAGGCCACGCCTATTGCAAGTCCATCCATCAGATTATGAATAGCATCTCCAATCAGAATCATCGCATTTAACGAATTAACACCACCTACAATGTAAACACACGTCAGTCAGACTTCGAATGGAGTTTACGACAACTTTAACAAACATCTGCGTAGGCAAATCACCCATAGAGCCTAAGTTTATTTTACTCTGTGGTAGAATCCAACTTACAGAGACTTGTGTAGAAATGGCAGAGATAAGCAGTCATCTGTCTATTTAATGTAACATGTTTTAAAATTCAGGTATAGGTCTACAGTCGTATTTCCTTTTTAATATGAAGGCCCTACTGTAGTCTATTTTTGAATTAAAGAATTACAAGTTAGCATTACATAATACAATCTAAATTGTATGGTATTTTCTCCTTCATAATAATTATGTAGAGTATGCGCTCTGTGACCGATGTTTTTTAAGAGGCATTAGGCCTATATAATTGATGCTGAAAACTAGCTTAACAAACAATCACCTGATGAAGCCCCATTGACTGGGGCGAAAGCTTGTGAAATAAAATTCATCGTTAGTAAAATAAAGCGCTACCTACTCATTTGTTTCATTTATATACACTGACTATTACGACTATACTATTTTTTGTTTTAGCTTAGCAATGTAAATCTTTTTTGAAAGGCATAATTAATCACGATTATATGTATTTTAAAAGCAATTAATGTTTGCCATAATAAGAATATAATTCATTTTCAGTATCTTTATTACATATCTGTTTCGTTAACTACAAACTTTATCATTAAAATATTTTATTGTATTTCTAGTTTACCATTTTTATTATCAATAAGTGTACTATTCGATTGACGTCTGTCTTCCTCCATATTAATGCTCTCCTGTAAAAAATAAAAACATTATCCATTCATTTATATTAATTATCAAATATATAAGATATGACGGGTAAAATAGAAATGAATGTTAACAAAAGTTCGATGAATATATTTTCCAATAGAAAGTAAAGACAAAAATGCAACCCCAGGGTAATCTGCACATGTTTTGTAATGAACAAGATTAGGCCATAAATAGAATAAACAGCGAGAAACAATACGAACACTCTGTGATTTCTGTGGTTCTATTATTTACGGTGTGCTTTAAACAAGAAAAAAAAAACGCGTTATGATGTACGTCAGTGGCGTAGAAAAGTATTTTTCATTGGGTGGAGGGGGTGATTGGCGTGTTAGCCAGTGTCGTAACAGGCGCGGGGAGGAGGGGGAAACTGCCCCTCCCCTGACGGTTTTTACCGGGCTGACCAAGCCGTCGTACCGGGCTGGGTAATAAGAGAAAAGAAAGAGGGGAGAGGGAGGGAAAGAGAAAGAAGAGGAAAAGAAAAGGAAAGGAAAAGAAAAAGAGAAAAATTAAGACAAGAATAAAAAGGAAGATATCATAATGACTCACAACACCCTGCAACCCCTTCTCCACTTCAAAAACTGTCATAACTCCTTTGATCTATGCTGCCCGATGGCGTAACCGCTGGGGGACAAGGGGAAAATATCTATCTTTGGAAATCTTCCCCACCCCTTTATAAATGCCCTTTCATCCCCTGAAAGTGCCTATAAACCTCAAATTTCGCGCGCTTCGCGCGCATTTCTTGTTAACATGGGCCAATTTCCTCTAAAAATTGCACATTTTTAGGGAGTTTGGATCAATTCCAACGAAATTAGAATTAAAAACACCGGGGGACAAGGGGAAAATATCCATTTTTGGAAAATCTTTCC